CAAAATGGCGTTGGAATAGGTAAGGCTCAAAATAACGAACACTGTCGACCACAGCAAGCGCTTCCTTGTCTGTTGCTGAGTATCTAACTTCAGGTCCCTTCACTTTTCTGCTGAAATACGCCACAGGGTGAGGATGGTTCTCTGAATCACGCTGCATTAAGCACCCTCCTATGGCAATACCACTAGCGTCTGTATGCACCTCCCACTCCTTATCAAAGTCAGGCACAGCTAATACTGGGGCGGTAATTAATTGACTTTTGAGCCTAGTATAAGCCTCATCGTGTTCTAAGGTCCACATAAATTTAGCATTCTTCTTTACAAGGTCAGTTAAAGGCGCTGTTATACTAGCAAATCCCTCAATATGGCGGCGGAAGTATCCGGCTGCTCCCAGAAACCGGCGCACATCCCTTGCTGACCTAGGCCTGGGCATCTCAGCAATGGCGCGGCATGAGTCTGGGTCAGGGCGGATGCCATCTGTGCTCACCTGGAACCCCAGAAATTTGAATTTCTGAGATGCCAGGGTGCATTTTTGGATATTCAATTTGAAGCCTGCCTTGTCTAACAATGACAGTGTCTCAGTCAAGTCCCGCAGGTGCTCCTCAAACGACCTAGAGTAGATAACCACGTCATCCAGGTATGCTAATGAATGCCTACCTAGCACAGGGCTGAGGATGTAGTTAATAGCCCTCTGAAATGAGGAAGGGGCTGTCTTGAGCCCAAAAGGCATGCGCTTAAACTGAAACTGGTGAACCCCATCAGAGAATGCTGTTTTCTCACGGTCCTTAACTGCCACTGGAATAGCCCAATATGCTGACTTAGCATCCAGAGTGGAGAAATACTTGGCTGCCGCGAACTGATCTATAATTTCCTGAATCCGAGGTAAGGGGTACACGTCCCCCTTTGTAATTTCATTAACTTTCCGATAGTCGACACAAAACCGGTAACTACCATCCGGTTTGCGCACCAGCACCACCGGAGACAACCATGGTGAAGTGCTTGGTTCTATAACTCCCTGTCTTAACATCTTCTGACACTCCTCTCTGATAGTTTTCTTAGCCTGTTCCGGGAGCCTCCACTGTCTCGTATACACGGGCTCGTGATCACCTGTTGGAATGGTGTGCTCAATTCTGTCTAACAACCCAATTTGATCGTCGTCCGTTGCAAATAATTCGGGGAACATACGCAAAACTTCCCGCACCCGTTTCCTCTCTAACTGTGGAATGTGCTGTAAGTCTAGTGCTGATATTAATTTATTCAAATTGTTGGTATCGCAAGGTGGCGTGAGCACCATTGTGCCGTGCTCCGCAGTCTTACTAGTGTCTTTAACATTAAGAGCGCCACATTGCTTAGTGTCTGTAATAGTTTCCGATGGATCTGATTGAAAGATCGATGTCTCCTCTAAGATAATACCCTGAGACACTCGATCACCCACTCTGAAGCGGTAGGTCTTGTGTGAGAGATTGACTATAGGTATGAGAGCACCTTTGTCCAGGACAACAATTAAGTGGTAGGGAATTAATAGTTTATCAAGCCTGCCGGCCACCAGAAGGGTAGTACCAGGCTGGATATGACGACCCACGGCCACCCTAATGAACCTAAATGATCGTGATGGGTAAGTCTGCTTGTCAAAAGCATGTAAAATACACGACTCCTTATTATTGTCTGGAGGAGACTGAAACAAAAATTTTGCGTAATTGGCATGATGTTTCTGCTTCCGCTGGATGGAAGCTAAAACCGGGGGATGGTCAGTCAATGTCACCGGATAGGATACAGTTCCTAATTTCAACCGGCAATGTCTCGCCCCTTTCTCAGCAGACAGAGAATATGAAAACCTGTGTAAGAAATCCATGCCAATCAAGATATCACCCGGATAAGCAAGATTCTGAACCACTGTACAAGTGTGAGGGTACGACCCATCATGACCTATTTCAGAATTAATTGTGGCCTGACCCAAGATGTCAATTTGTTCCCCATTAACTGCTGTGAGCTGCTTACTACTACATTTAAGCCGTGCATGTTGGAATTTGCTGAAGGCTGAACTCTTAATGAGTGTTGCTTGGCTACCGGTGTCCAAGAAAGCAAACTCTCACCCTCAACCTGGACTTCAAAAGTAGGTCGACTATCCCTAAAGTAATCTGGTAACGGCACTTCCTTAAGCCGTACACTCGTACACGCTTTCCTAAAATGACCTTTTCCATGACAGGTCCAACACTTCTCCTTACTAATACTACTTAACGTGTAAGAAATCTTACCACAAGTACAAACTACCCCCGGGGAGGCAACACTGGGGGGATGGGCGGGGGAAGCAGGGTGGGGGTGGGGAATGTCGGAGGGGGAGGGTATGACAGGAGGTATGAGGGAGGCGGGGAGGGCTGGTGGGGGGTTGAGGGACTGGGCGCAGGGCGGGGAGGATGGAAGTGGAGGGAGAGTGGAGGGCGCGTGGATGAGTGACACCGACGACTCGGGGTGGGGCGGGAGGGGTGGAAACTGAGGGGAAGGAGGGTGAGGGTGGACGGGTGGAGTGGGACAATACTGAGAGGGGAGGGGCTGAACAAGCAAGGTGTGGGTGGAGTGACCTTGAGTGGGGATAGTGGGGACGGTGGGAGGAAGTGGAGCAGAGTGGGTGGAGGGAACATGGGCGGGTAGGGTGGGAGGGAACTGGGTGGGGTAGGTGTAGGGAACTTGGGGCGGGAACTGAGAGGGAATAGAGGGGGATTGCAACCCTATTTTGAACCCCTTCCATTCTGATAACATCTGAGTGGACATATAAAATCAAACAAATTGCCAATAAAGATATAATTCCACAAAATAACACAATATCTGTAACTTTGTCACCGAGCGTCATATTAACATGAAAATTTAACACAATGTTCTATGTAACGAATGAACATTAAAAAGTAAATCAGAACAAACGCACACTCGCTGTACACACAATATACACCGCGCGGAGCGTCTACAGAAAGATGAAGGGACATAGGACAGTAACCTTCCCAAGTGGACGAGAGGTATGACCGCGCGCCCAAGATGAAACAGGTGTTGATAACTTAGTATAAACAATCTCTCAGATCGTCGCATGAGAAACACATGTACACATATGTGCACACAAGAGACGGCAGGTGCACATACAACCTTATCGACACTGAAATTCCTTACACTTATGAAAATATCAGAGTAAAATAATGAAAATAAAAAGATATAATATACTTAACTATGAATTCCCTTAACTAATTGTAAAACTACTCTCGTGGTGATTAAATCTACGATTGTTCCTCGGTAAGCTACGCCTGCTAACTACGTCTGACCCGCCCTTGGGGAAAAACATCCAACACTAGCAGCCGTCCTTCCTAAGACACAATTCACGACCAGAATGTTTGAGGTCAGTCTCGCTGCCAACATGACCCCCTCTATGATGATAACTCAGCTACACTCTAGGTGACGAAGCACCGTCTGCGGCCTTATCGTTAAGATCTAGAACTCGAGGCAACTCCATGTACCTCAGAAATATATCAGTAAGCGTCCTCCACTGATAATTTCCCAGACAACCTGCCGAACAGATTGCTGTACAACCTATAACTGGGTTGTACACCCCTGGAAGCTATGAAGAGAAACGAGAACTAATTTCTGTCCATAGATTTCAGAGCGACGCGCATACCCCAAACTTTCTCTAGTTTCCCGTATGTCGCACTAATCATAACACTTAAAATACGTGTGGCCCCGAGCAACGAAATCGCGAGCCCGCCTAAACTAACAAACAACTACGTGGCCAACTGAGCAGCCGCCGGCGCGCAGGACTCCAATAAAGTGTGAACACACCCACAATTTATTGGACCACCGCTAGCACCATTGTAACACCACTCTATTGTGACACCACCCTAAAATGTACCACTATAATGGAACACCACTATAATGGAACACTAAACTATCCTGAGTAACACTTCCTCATTGGTTGCGCTTGGTAACACTGTTATGGGCTGACATATGATGGTTACACCGGAACCAAAGGTACACTGCCAATAAGGAAATGCTAACACAGAGATTAAATACGCTGCCACCATCTGCCTTTGACCATTGAAACTATATCAAGCAACGAGGCAAGAAACATTGCTTGACTTGGAGAGTACTTCTATGACTGTCATTAATTATGAAAACGGTTGTCAGCCACTATATCCAAAAGGCTAAGAGGATTCAACAATTGACACAGACGGGAAATTTAACGAGTTTATTGAGACCAAAATTATGTCAATCACTACTTATAAATGCTACACTAACACTGGCAAAAAGTTAAGAAATTTGGACATGGAACAAAAACTCAGAGATCACACACATTACCTTAAGCTATCTCTCTCCCGGGCTGAGATGTTCTTCACAGCCCCGCTTTCGATCCCGGTGTACCGCCCTCTCCCCCTCCTATGTTCCTACAGGCCCTCTATATACAACCCCCCACAGGGGGAGGGGGAGATCTGCTGTTGCTACCCACCAAAAGTGTACAAACACTCAAGAAATATTTCAAAAAGCTTGTTTGACATTCACCATACACTCTTCAAGAGAGGAGTTATTAATTACATGTGACTGACCTCTGACCTGGCCAAAAGGGGGAGATCCAGGGATGTTTACACATAAGAATCTGGAGTCTAATTTCCTTGCATGAAATATTACATACTTGAAACTATGCTGACTAAGACTAACCCAGGAATTTTTAATCAATATACAAGATAAACCGGAGGTCATCTGGGCTGACCTCTTGGAGAAGGCTTCCCTGGGTGTGAACTCTAAGGGGGGGGGGGGGTCCTGGGTGTTACACCTCCACCACACCACAGCTCCTCCACCACACCACATCTCCTCCACCACACCACAGCTCCTCCACCACACCACAGCTCCTCCACCACACCACAGCTCCTCCACCACACCACATCTCCTCCACCACACCACAGCTCCTCCTCCACACCACAGCTACACCACCACACCACAGCTCCTCCACCACACCAGACACCACAGCTTACCGTGAGCATCACCAAGACAGGTGACGCCAGAGTGGTGAGGTCCGTCTGGTGCCTCTGTGGTTGCCTCGCTCACCACAGTTCCCACCACAACAACAGCCGCCACACCAGCGGCCACCACAACAGCAGCCAACACCACAACAGTCATCCTGGCACTGACTGTCCTGCTCCGCCAAGCCTCCCTCACAACACCCCCTTAACACCTCCCCCTCCCCCTCAACGACACCGACCACCTCGACGACACCTAATGACCGCCTTCGACTCCTGCTGTATGATAATGTAGCGTGTTAAGCGACGATCAATTTTTGTAATTTATTACAACAATTAGACGAGGTTTGTCTATAACAAACTAAGCAATTATTGGTTTGCATATTTGCACAGTACATTCGTTGTTCTACTTGATTCTTTGTTACCAACTTGAACAATTGCGCAAAGACAACGAAATCCCCTGAATTTTATGCGACAAATAGTCAAGCGTCATTGCAGTTTGTTTTCATTATGTTTAAAAACACATGCCCGAAACGCTTTGCGTAATAGTGGCTTTAGGCATTGTATGTACTAGCTATACCTATAAGTCAAACAATCCTTGTAAATATTTATTGTATGTATGTACCTTACCTAAATAAAATTGTATTGTATTGTATTTCCAGGCTGACACTTGTTGTATATTCAGCTTGATGGAGTACTCTAGCAGGAGCCCAGGCCGCTGAGGGTGCCAGGAACCAGCATGACTGTTGACTTGCACTCTGTGGTACTGTGGGAGTGGCACCTGGGGATATGACACCCACACCAACACCCACCAACTTCCTCCCGCGCTAATCGCTTTGCGGTGCTGATCAATTATTCAGCAACACTTCGCTCGCTGGACTCGCTGGGGGCGTTCCCAAGATTGTGGTGGTTGTTTATGTGTTGACATTGTCACCAGTGTTGACAGTGTTGCCAGTGTTGACAGTGTTGCCAGTGTTGACAGTGTTGCCAGTGTTGACATTGTCACCAGTGTTGACAGTGTTGCCAGTGTTGACATTGTCACCAGTGTTGACAGTGTTGCCAGTGTTGACAGTGTTGCCAGTGTTGACAGTGTTGACAGTGTTGCCAGTGTTGACAGTGTTGCCAGTGTTGACAGTGTCACCAGTGTTGACTGTGTTGACATTGTCACCAGTGTTGACAGTGTTGCCAGTGTTGCCAGTGTTGACTGTGTTGACAGTGTCACCAGTGTTGACAGTGTTGCCAGTGTTGACAGTGTCACCAGTGTTGACAGTGCCACCAGTGTTGACAGTGACGCCAGTGTTGACAGTGTCACCAGTGTTGACAGTGACGCCAGTGTTGACAGTGTCACCAGTGTTGACAGTGTCACCAGTGTTGACAGTGACGCCAGTGTTGACAGTGTCACCAGTGTTGACAGTGTCACCAGTGTTGACAGTGTCACCAGTGTTGACAGTGTCACCAGTGTTGACAGTGTCACCAGTGTTGACAGTGACGCCAGTGTTGACAGTGTCACCAGTGTTGACAGTGACGCCAGTGTTGACAGTGTCACCAGTGTTGACAGTGACGCCAGTGTTGACAGTGTCACCAGTGTTGACAGTGACGCCAGTGTTGACAGTGTCACCAGTGTTGACAGTGTCACCAGTGTTGACAGTGTCACCAGTGTTGACAGTGTCACCAGGTGTTGACAGTGTCACCAGGTGTTGACAGTGTCACCAGGTGTTGACAGTGTCACCAGGTGTTGACAGTGTCACCAGGTGTTGACAGTGTCACCAGGTGTTGACAGTGTCACCAGGTGTTGACAGTGTCACCAGTGTTGACAGTGTCACCAGTGTTGACAGTGTCACCAGTGTTGACAGTGTCACCAGTGTTGCCAGACATAAATGTTCTCAAGAATGGTTAAATATTTTATCCACATTGTTTTTTCCTTTGGCATCTATTAATATTTAAAGTAACCTATATACACATATAGTACACATGCGAGCACACATACACACGCTACACTTGTACACACACTACACATGTATACACACACACACAACACTTGCACACACTACTCAGTTGGCTTCGTTCGCGACTCATAATCGGGGATCCAGGGTTCGATTCCTGGGCAGGACAAATATGGCAACCCGTCTTCGACTCAAGGCCATTACATCCAGCGGTCGACCCCACAGACGCATTTATAATTTTTTTACATGCTCTTCAATCAAATGGGAATTTCCTTATATATAATTTAATATTATAAGATTTTAGCATCTTGTGCATATAGGCACAGGTTAGGTTAGGTGTTTAGGTTCTGTTGGCGATTATTTGTATTTGTAGTACGTGGGTGAAGCATTTACAGCGTTGTGGTTCGAACAAAATTCGTCAGTGAAGCACTTGTTCCGGATATATTCGAACGTCAGCAGTTGTGAGTCGTGTGTAAACCGCTTTTCATTCATAAACAGGGGGTTTGGCGGGTGCATGAAATCACTTTTGGATCTTTGTTTGGAGGACGGGCTGCATTTACAGCGTTGTGGTTCGAACACGATTCGTCAGTGAAGCACTTGTTCCGAAAGTGTTCGAACGTCATCAGTTGTGAGTCGTGTGTAAACCGTTTTTCATGCATAAACAGGGGAATTCTCTGGAATTCTTATTGTATCTGGTTCTCTGAAGATCTCATTTTGTACAAACACACATTGGAACTTTTCGTTTAATGTTTCACACATTTCCTTTTCATTTTGTCGCACACACACACACATTTGTACTCACCTAATTGTGCTTGAGGGGGCTGAGCTCTGGCTCTTTGGTCCCGCCTCTCAACCGTCAATCAACACGTGTACAGGCTCCTGAGCCTATTGGGCTCTATCATATCTACACCTGAAACTGTGTATGGAGTCAGCCTCCACCACATCACCCCCTAATGCATTCCATTTGTCAACCACTCTGACACTAAAAAAATATCTTTCTAATATCTCTGTGGCTCATTTGGGCGCTCAGTTTCCACCTGTGTCCCCTTGTGCGTGTGCCCCTTGTGTTAAATAGCCTGTCTTTATCTACCCTATCAATTCCCTTCAGAATCTTGAATATGGTGATCATGTCCCCCCTAACTCTTCTGTCTTCCATCGAAGTGAGGTTTAATTCCCGTAGTCTCTCCTCGTAGCTCATACCTCTCAGCTCGGGTACTAGTCTGGTGGCAAACCTTTGAACCTTTTCCAGTTTAGTCTTATCCTTGACTAGATATGGACTCCATGCTGGGGCTGCATACTCCAGGATTGGCCTGACATATGTGGTATACAAAGTTCTGAATGATTCTTTACACAGGTTTCTGAATGCCATTCGTATGTTGGCCAGCCTGGCATATGCCGCTGATGTTATCCGCTTAATATGTGCTGCAGGAGACAGGTCTGGCGTGATATCAACCCCCAAGTCTTTTTCCTTCTCTGACTCCTGAAGAATTTCCTCTCCCAGATGATACCTTGTATCTGGCCTCCTGCTCCCTACACCTATCTTCATTACATTACATTTGGTTGGGTTAAACTCTAACAACCATTTGTTCGACCATTCCTTCAGCTTGTGTGTGTGCGTGTGTGTGTGTGTGTGTGTGTGTGTGTGTGTGTGTGTGTGTGTGTGTGTGTGTGTGTGTGTGTGTGTGTGTGTGTGTATGTGTGTGTGTGTGTGTGTGTATGTGTGTGTGTGCGTGTGTATGTGTGTGTGTGTGTGTGTGTATGTGTGTGTATGTGTGTGTGTGTGTGTGTGTGTGTGTGTGTCCCCCGAACAGGCAGACATAAAAAAACAATAGACAGAGGCAGAACAACGAGATACACACATAGGTACATTTTCAATCATTTGAGACCTCGGACAATGTTACCACATACGTCAGACCTGCAGAGTACCCGCAGGGGGCACGATAAGCAAACGAGTTTCGGAACACCTGGGAAAGGGGGGCCGCGATCCCATCAACCCGTAAACGTATCATAAACCTCGACGTGCACTAACCACAAAAATACTCGCTAGCAGCAGCCATCAGCTTCACTCTGGTGAGAGGCAGCGCCAGTGGTTCCCAGACTGGTGACGTCAACGAACGTCAGGTGCAGCCTCGTCTGTGAAGTGTCACGTGACGCGGGCGTTCTGTCACGTAATGGCGATATTTTTAGAGCGTCAGATTCTCTCCATGGCGACCATCCCAGTTCCCGGCAGGGCTGCCACCAGTACACCTACCATGGCGACCATACCAGTTCCCGCCAGGGCTGCCACCAGTACACCTACCATGGCGACCATCCCAGTTCCCGCCAGGGCTGCCACCAGTACACCTACCATGGCGACCATCCCAGTTCCCGCCAGGGCTGCCACCAGTACACCTACCATGGCGACCATCCCAGTTGGTGTTGAGTAAGGTTGCAGACTGAGCAGTGTGGGAAAATTGCTGGAGCCAGCAGATGTCAACAAGGTCGGCTGTATTTATAAATGTCAGGTGTACAGCGCCACTGTAACCCGAGGTGTGTGCCAAGCAGGAGTGTAGTGCCGCAGGTGTGGTACAGCAAGGGTAGTAGAGCGAGGGTGGTACAGGAAGGGTGGTACAGCAGTAAGGAACACAGCCAATCATGAAGACTGTGGCGGTGGTCTTGGGGCTTCTGTGTTGTGTCTTGGCTCAAGGTAATATATTATACCAGTGTATAATAACAACAAACTAATCACATTCTTCATGTAAATTGAACTGACTATAGTGTCGTAATTATGTTCACGATCGTTTCAGAGTGCAACCCGCGCCAATTCGGATACGACAGTGTGGTGTGTGTCTGCAACGCGACCTACTGCGACCAGCCGGGCATCATCAACTTCCCTGAAGAAGGCAGCTTCACCGTCGTCACCTCCAGCAGGGATGGCCTCAGGTTCAACGTGGAGACCTTCCCCGTCTCCAGCGAAGCCGACCCTGGTAAGTTATCAATGTAGGGAGAGATGTGGAGGCTCCTGGGCCAGAAAAGATTACGTCATGAACAGAACCAGAGTGCTTCCTTACATCCCTGTACACTGGAGGAACACAGTGCTTCCTCACATGTCAGTACACTGGAGGAACAGTGCTTTCTCACATGTCAGTACACTGGAGGAACACAGTGCTTCCTTACTTCCCTGCACACTGGAGGAACAGAGTGCATCTTTACATCCCTGTACACCGGAGAAACCCAGTGCTTCATTATATCCTTGTACACTAAAAGAACACAATGTTTCCTTACATCCTTATACACTGGGGGAACACAGTGCTTCCTTATATTCCTGTACACTGAGGAACAAAGTGCTTCCTTACATCCATGTACACTGGAGGAACACAGTGCTTCATTACATCCCTGTACACTGAAGAAAAACAGTGCTTCCTTACATCCTTTCACACTGGAAAAACACAGTGCTTCACAACACCCCCTGTACACTGGAGGAACTCATTGTTTCCTTACATTCTAGTACACTGGAGGAACACAGTGCCTCCTTACACCCCTGCTCACTGAAGGAACACGGTGCATGCTTGCATTCCTCTGGTTAACGAGTGTCTAAAGTTGCCAGCTATGGCCTTTATGTGTATTTCTTCTTTAGGGAACAATCTGTCGTAGTCCACTTGCTTGTCTCTCAGTATCTTATAGGTTATAATCATGTCTCTGTGACCGTCCTCGTAAATCAGGACTCGTGTCCCCACCCCCCTAGCATGTTTACATACTCAGAGTTTCAGAATAATATTAACTAAGCCTATCAGACATAAAATAATGTATGCATTACTTGTTTTTACTTCTATTTTAACATATTAATCAATCAAATATTCATATACGTATTGTGATTCAAAAATAAATTATTTCATCTACACTCAACTTACACCTCACAGCACGTGTAGTAACAAATGTGGATGACAATTTATAAAACAGATGTATGCTCCCTCAGGGGCTGAGGTGATCACACTGAATCGAGACGACGTGTATCAGACCATAATAGGCTTCGGCGGTGGGTTCTCCGACTCCACCGGCATCAATGTGGTCAATCTTCCCAGCGAACTCCAGGAGCACTTCTTCACGTAAGGCTGCAGTGGGGGTTAAAGTAGCGTGAAGGTATTGTGGGGCTAACCTCATCCCCGACTTACCAACTGTCTGGAAAGACAAGGCTTGTCCCGCTCTCTTACATTAAAAGAAAACAAAATATATACTTCTAATCTCTAGAAGAGAGAGGCAGCTACCTTGCCTTAGCCTATTTCAAGCAATTCTCAAATAGAGGCGTGGGACAATATCGCTGACCGCCTGTTCGTCGGTTACTCACACTGCAGCGTCAGCTTAAGCCTCCTCTCACAGTAACTCTCCCACGTACTTTGTTCAGTTTGTTAATATTCAGACCACACTATTAGTCCCCCTAACTCCCCCTTGCCACTTCGGAGGTGGGGTATAGGGTTTTTATGTGGCTTCAGGGCATCAATCCTCCCAGACACTGGGCATGGCGAGAAGGCACCCCTAAGCATACCTATTTCCCTATCAACACAAACTAAAATATCTAAAAATGCAAGATGGCCATCTCAACCCACAGAAGTTAAGAAGATAATAATATGTAAAATGGAAAATTATTTTATATTTTGTTTTCCTTATGTGGGACACAGCACACAAGAGAAAGGTGCACAGTATATCATTAAAAATGAACTAAAGCTGAGGGCAAAGCAACAAGCTGCCTAAGCAGCAGGATTGGTGACTTGGCAGCAGCATATATGGAAAACAATTCAAAGCGGAAGCTCCTAGCAAGGCCCCAGAGCAGGAGGGTTGCCATGTATGTGCATAGGGTCCCTCCGGCCTCCGCCATACCCACTTGTAGTCTCCGGCCAGATCATCTACCCTCCTGTGAGGAACCGTTCCAAGAAGTGGTACTCCAGATGACGACTCTGCTTAGATAGTTAGCTGCCAGCTATCCTAGCAGCGGTTCACCTAAACAAGACTATACTGACCTTTATGCACCCAGTGCACGGTGATCCTGGGACTAAGGTTAGGTTAGGTTAGGTAGGGTTTGTTAGGTTCGGTCATATATCTACATTAGTTTTAACTCAAATTTAAACAAATTAACTCATACATAATGAAATGGATAGCTTTATCATTTCATAAGACAAAAAATAGAAAAAATATATAAATTCAAGAAAACTTGGCTTATTAGGCAAATCAGGCCTTCCATTGTAGGCCGAGTACTGCGTTCTGGCTACTAGGTACGACATATATATATATATATATATATATATATATATATATATATATATATATATATATATATATATATATATATATATATATATATGTCGTACCTAGTAGCCAGAACGCACTTCTCATCCTACTATGCAAGGCCCGATTTGGCTAATAAGCCAAGTTTTCATGAATTAATTGTTTTTCGACTACCTAACCTAGCTAACCTAACTTTTTCGGCTACCTAACCTAACCTAACCTATAAAGATAGGTTAGGTTAGGTTAGGTAGGGTTGGTTAGGTTCTGTCATATATCTACGTTACTTTTAACTCCAATAAAAAAAAATTGACCTCATACGTAATGAAATGGGTAGCTTTATCATTTCATAAGAAAAAAAATTGAGAAAATATGTTAATTCAGGGCTTATTAGGCAAATCGGGCCTTGCATAGTAGGCTGAGAATGTGTTCTGGCTACTAGGTAACTGCAAAGGGCCAATAGGCCCTTTGCAGTTACTTCCAATCTTCCCTTTAACTTACAAAATATTATACCCATTGTTTCATGTTCTGTTTTGTGTTGAAAGTTTGTTTTCACCTTATCCCAAACTGTTGTAACATATCACCTCACCCAAATGCAGGCATAAATTCGAAGCTGTTTAAACTCTGTTCAGTTATAGTGGTATGTGTGTAAACTAAAGTCTTTGAAAATGTAATAAGTTTTACGAAACGCGTTCAAGTGTCGCGTCAGACTAGAAATAAAAATGAATTTTGGAGAATTGATTTTTCAGTTACCATCAACAGTGAAAAGAAATATAAGAAAGATTGAGAAAATTCGTGTTAGGATTATTAATCTTACTTTTTCTGTCATATTTAATATATATATATATATATATATATATATATATATATATATATATATATATATATATATATATATATATTAACAAACAGAACACTTTCCCATATGAGAGAATCGAACCATGGGCAGTCAGGTGCCTAGCCAGAGCACTAACCACTAGGCCACCCTCCTCAGATCGCTAAAAGGACGGAAATTCGGGGGGCATTTCCATGAAAATGGTTGTATAATATACTCCTTAGTATAATGCTACTGGAGATATATAATCAGCTGACAAATTTAGATTTCTACTGGTATTGTTTACCTGCAGGCTTAGGTCTCCTCAGGCTTAATACTGGGTCTGAGAGTAATTTGCCTCCTGCAGAATTTAACATGGTTATGCCCTGATATTTAGTTGGGATATTTAGCTACCGATGAATCGATGGAAGTAGTCTTTACCTACAACGATACCGAAGTCTGTGAGGTGATCAGACTTAATTTTATCTGTCAATTTTATTCCTCTATTTTTCAGGTATTTGGCAGTAGCTCTCAGACCTTGCACATGTAGGTCAGTTGGTATTTTGTCCACCACAATGGCCTGTACTTGACAGACGTAACTGTCTAATCGTACTGATGGTTGCACCCCCTGGTAGACTTGAGGTCCTGTATCTATTAGAAACCCTGAGATATTGAATGTTATCTGGGCTACAGGTCTTAATTGTAGTTCATCCGCCAACTTTTTAGTGACATATGTTCTCTGGGACCCTTGGTCAAACAACCCACGGGTATGGACCTTGGCCCTCTTATTCTGGATGTAATTTGGGCAGTAGGCAGTCGTATTCCCTTTGGACTTTGCTGATTGGACACCGGTTGTCTGTAGCACCTTGCAGTATAGTACTGTGGTGGGTATATTATCTTCCACCTTGGGTTTGGAATACGTTAATTTCGTATGTTTGCACAGTGCTGCATGGTGCTTACCTCTTATACACCTGTTGCAGGTGTTGAATTGGGTATCACAATAGTCTATGTTGTGTGATTTGAGACACCTTGCGCATTTCCCCAATTCCTGGAGTCGCTTAATACGAGTGTGTCTCTGTCTGGATAATTGGCACAACGGTATGTTGAATGTTTCTTTTTGCAGAACATACATGTCCCCCAGCCTACTGCACGCTTGGAAGTTACCGGTTTGGGTGAACTAGTAACAGTAGGCTTGGAGGATTGCACTGCATTGCCAGATTTTCTCCAACTTGGTGTGAAAGTAATCGGCTGATGTTTATTTTGGGTAGTTGTTTTACCCTTTAATTTACTCTTATTTTCTATTTCTGAAGGCTCACAAGAGGCTTTAACTTCCTCATCTGCACGTCGTTTGTCTATGATGGAACGCAAACCTTTAGTGAGGTTCTGTACCGTCAGGATGGTGTTATGATGATGTGTATATAATTCATTAAGGATGTCGCTGGACAATTTTCGTTGAAGGACTACTTTGGTCATCCACTCACTAGTGGTTATATCAACCTTAAGACTGAATGTTCTTAGTAGTGACTCCAACTCCATGCTGAAGGATTGTAATGAGTCAGTAGTCTGATCAGGTTGAGGTAAGTCCAGCAATTGAAATACTAGAAGTATGACAGTTTTCTCATTGCCAGCATTATCCATACTGGCTAGCTGGTAAAGCCTTGTGGAGTTTGTAATTGGGTTGCTCATTATGCTGAACAAGTACTGATGGAGGAACCTATGGATACAATTCTGCAATCACTAGGCTATAATCCTACCTCTTCTAGAGGTTAGCACTTAAAATTAACACACTATATATATAATCATACACACTAATGATTTGAGTGATAAACCAGTGTCACTGGAAGTACCTTTAGGATAGCTCCACAATTATCACCCTAGGTTGGTATAGACATTAATTAATCACTCAAAGGTGCAATGATTATAAGTAAATTATTATATATACACAACTCAACTCGAGCTGGTATTAATTACACCCAAAATAGGGTCTGCACCATTATTTAATGGTGCTAGATTGTTCAATGTAAGTACAACTAAAAATGGGACAAGGATGAACAATAAATAGCTCAACTAGTCAATGGTAATAGGGGACTAGGTTGTCAATGAACATTAGTCAATGTTATATCCTACTCTGTTGTGGGTTGGCAATTAGTAAATATTGTATTGAGAAAAAAAGTGTAATATATATTAAATAATTCTCTATTTAAGAGAAATAATATATATAATTGTTGATGATAGCCTCTAGAATTTAGAAATATTAAATCTTATTAGTGACCTCGAGAAATAAACACCACAAAATTCGTGGATAATCATGCGAGGGCACAGCCACTATTTGGCTGCATTTATATTAAGCGCTGTCACTCCATGAATTACACTCTGCGAAATTGGTGGGTGACAGTGAAGCCGCTCTGTGAGGCTCGGCTAGGGGTCGAGAGCAGATAGCAGGTCACCACGGCCGGTTTCGTGACTGGCAATATATTGTTGTTGTATAAATTACAATAGTACCAGTGTATTTCAAGATTTAATGAATCCACTGGTTAACTCTGGTTCCTCCGGTACAAAGATGACCAAATAATCTGTTATCTGGTTCGAAGGACCAAATAATGTGGGGAACCGATCTATGAGATTTATATTTATTTAATTTATATGAATTTATATAGAATTTATATTTATATTAATATATATATTTTGGTAATAATTTGTATGATGTTTAGTGGACTGTATTTCTGCAATATTCACATAAATCGACTCCTTGCACATTAGGGGGTTTTATATTAAATTTATATGTATGCAGCCAGTCAAACTACAGTATTAAACTACATATATTATTAATTGAAATTAAGAGGTCTTATCTTATTGTATGGTAGGCCTGGTCCACTAGGTATAAACAAGGATGATGACACCAAATAATTCTCATGTTGAGGCTAACATCAACGCAATGTACTGGTTTACTAGGATTAATTCTTGCTTTCCTCTTATATTGTTCCAGTCAAAGGGCACTTGCTGTAATAGCAGGAATCCTATATATATGACAGCTATATCAGAGGAAATATTGGAATATTATTTATAAGATAAGGACCAAGGAATAATTACCTGAGTTAAGTCGATCCCGTGCGTGCTAACTGGTTCCCTTATATCTACCTAATATAACTGGCCAGAAATGCTAAGATAATAAAAGGGTTTCGATAATACACTTTCCTTATAGTAAACGTAGTTGTGTGTCTGTTACGGCCCTATTGGGTCGCAACTGGGTTCTTTCTCTGATTCTCACATTCACGGCGACTCCGGCTATTTATCCAGAGCAACTGCTAATACCGTCTTCCTAAACGTTCCCCCTTGACGTAAATGTGGTTCGGTCTATCTCACGGGTCTACAATCACTGGAACGAGCTCGGGAAACAGGAAAAGTTACAGGCTTTGTAAAACTCCAAAAGTCGCACTCTAAGGGTTCCTGTCCTCTCGACCACCCTGCACACACAAGTTACCCTAGCAAGTCTCTTGCATCCAGGAGGTGAAATGGCGGTTTTCCCGCAGGTGGACGGCTCCGTCGGCGTGGCGTCACCATCTTCCATGACGGTGATTGGTCCAGCCTCTCTTCGCTTCGTTTTGAACTTACAAGTTTCCCTGGATATTTCCACTACATAGAGGAGGAAGCAGATCGCCTCTCAATTCTTCCTCCTCATATTATTTTTGTTGACTCAATATCAACATTGATTATTTATCTACATTATTTGTCATCTCTATCTCCCAAGTTTATACATCCTGGCCTAATAATATTAGCCCTCAGTCATGGAGGGAAAGCCCACAAACAACTCTCATACTGAAGTAGCCTAAGCTACGTTGCCTTACATCATGACAGTAGTTACTCCTAAATTATGTAACATACTTTACATAATGTTGTTTAATGAATGAATTATTTATATTATAATTTTATATTATTAAGATTAAGAAATGTTAACCATGAGAGAGTGTTTGTGTAAGGTCATTTACCCAGTGATGTAGTATTATATTTTTAACAAACATTTCCCTTCCTGTTCCTGATGTAAACAATTGTTTTCAAAGATGGGTGAGTTATTTGGAAGGCTGAAGTATAAACTTATCAAATTATCAAAATCTGCAGATCCTACTTCGCTCCTGAAGGAATCGGATATAATTTGTGTCGTATTCCGATCGGTGGCAGCGACTTCTCCACCCGACCCTACTCCTACGACGACGTGGAGGACGATGTGGACCTTCAATACTGGAGTCTAACTGATGATGATCATAATTATAAGGTACGAGATTATAATAGGCTGATAATAGTTTTCACTGTAAAGAGCTTATTTTATAACAAAGCACCATCTTTGTTATCAATTTTTTCCACGAAGGATAATTAAACAAGAAATTACTTTAGCACTTTCATGTTAATCAATAAATCCAACCGTCCACACCAGCTGCGTGTCGGTTACTGGCGCGGTGAACGTCATCACCAAAACACACTTCCAAGGGATTGGGATGCCAACGAGCACCAGAAATATATACAAAACACAAATTTTCTTTATTAAATAAAATTGTGATGTTTAGGGAAAAAATTATGCATACTTCCGTCAAGTATAATCCACTAGAGTACGCACTGTTGGGTGGATGGTGTTAATTACCCATAATTACGTGACTGTTTATCCTATCAACAAGAGATTTGTACCAACATATCTAATGATTTTTTTTTAAATTTCAGTGATTTTCGATTTGTTTATATTTTTTCGAGTACTTTTTTTCCTAAGTCAATGGATGAACATTTTGCGAAGATTTATTTTTCATATTTATCACAAATTATTCTTTTAGCCAAAATCAATGTATGAAGTTAAACACAAACATATTAACAATGTATATACTTGCATGTATAGTTAATAACAGAGTATATACTTAGTTACACTGCTATTAGCATTGTGAATGCCTAAACTCTCTCTTTCTCTCATGATAAACCAAACTCTGCAGTTGACAGGCATAACCTATCCTGAAGGAGATCTGCTCGGGGGAATGGATTGGGAACAACTATATAATTAGTGCTATTATCTACTCTGTATCCATGGTTAGGTTAAGGTTTGGTTAGGTTAGGTTTCATTACGTTTGGTCACGATAATACGGTGTATTATTCATGAAAATTTGAGATACGGGATTTGAAAACTAATTCAGTGTACCCAAGAATTCCATTTACAGAGGAGCAAATTCTTCAAATAAATTATTTTCATCTTCACTTTTTCATATTTTAAAACCAACGATTTATATTGCAATTAAGTTATAACTTGAGAATAATCTGTTTAGGACATAGGTTCACTTGCCAGTTTACATGTAAACTATTACTCGAACTGTAATTTGCTCTCAGACCTTCATAAATATATAAATTACTATCCAGGTGGTTTGAAAGGGGGGGGGAGGAAATCTCACGATAAGGGATTTGGTCTGAGGACAGGTTCTCCAGTAAGTATGTGTGAGGGTCGTAGTGCAGGGGATTAGGGGAAGTGTGGGGGGACCCAGCTAGATGTTGACTTATCATTGATAGAGTGACTATTTACCCCCCGCCCTCTCTCTCTCTCTCTCTCTCTCTCTCTCTCTCTCTCTCTCTCTCTCTCTCTCCTCCAAGACGATTTTTTGCAATGCCCACCCTCTGCATCTAGCTAAATATTTTTAAAACAATTTTTTCTTATTGTAATATACATCATTATTCACTGATCTCGGGAAACTTAATATAAATTTCTGCTATTCATACTTCGGCTGTAGTAGCGCAACACAGATCTTCCCGTCTTTGTTAAGCCCCGCACCTCTCTCAAAGCCAGCGGGTAACTAATATATATATTTTAATATTTCTCACCACTATGCTCCTTCAGTGATATCACCAGTGATATCACAATGATGTCTCCAATGATATCACTACTGATGTCTCCAGTGATATCACTAGTGATGTATCCTGTAAGATACAAGATATCCTGTAAGATATGACCAGAGTTGTTCCCAGTGATACGGATAGTGATGTCTCCAAAGACATCACCAAATATGAACTTCAGTAATACATTGCAGTATAAATAAATACTTATTTTAACGGCATGTTTCCTACAACGGAAGTAACGTCAAGTTCCTGTGTACAATTGACACTGATATTTTGGGATATTGATGACGAGTTGAGTGAATACCAAACAATTTATATCAATTAGAAAACTTTAGAATCAGAAAATAATGGTTACAACTTGGTTTGGGAACAGTGTTGTGGATTGATGGAACAAATTACCGAGCACCATAATAGTTGTGGTACCGGCAGGATTGTTTCAAGTGTAGGTTAGATATATATATATGTGAATGAGTGTGGGTGTGGATATAAATAGGAGCTGCCTCATATGGGGCAATAGGCCTGTTGCAGTTTCCTCTATTCCTATGAACAAATCTCTATTCCTATGTGTAATCTCTATTCCTACGTTCTTATTGTAGATTCCGCTTATCCTGCGGGCCCAAGAGCTGACGTCATACCCATTAAAATTGTTCGGCACACCCTTCGCACCTCCCGCGTGGATGAAGACTAACGGCATGTTCAATGGCTCAGGCGTGCTGATAAAGGACATGTATCAGCCCTACGCTAATTATATCCTCAAGTAAGTCTCCCTGTGAGGGTCGTGGAGACAGCGAGGGACGCTCCACTTGGCTGATGAGATCCGCGAATTGTGGTAAATGTTTATACCGAGTTCCGGAAATTATCGCATATTTGGTTAATGAGATCCGGAAAGTGTAATAAATTTGGGAACTTTTAACCGGAAATTATAGTCCTTTTGGATAAATAAATCTTGAAATGGGATAAGTCTTTAGTTTTGATTCAAATGTACACAACTGATGCGAGTCATTGAATCTCTTCATTAGTAATGCAACCACCTTTGAATATTTGTATTTTATGATATTTACTTGTTTATTATCAGGTTTGTGGAGGCTTACGAGGCTGAGGGAGTCGAGCTATGGGGCCTCACTCCACAAAATGAACCACTTGGAGGCTTGATTGATGTAAGACTCTGTCAAGCCAGATGTATTTCTGAATCTTAATCATGAACCTTTTAAATTGTTTTGCAAATATTGTTAGCCAGTTTCTTGAAGCATTAAAAGAACAGAATGTTGTAAATGCTAATTGATGTATTGACAGTGGGGCATCAATACCTGTGGCTGGTCTTCAGAGTCAATGCGAGACTGGCTCAAGGGCAACTTGGGCCCCACGTTAGAGGCTGCCGGCTACCGTCACCTTAAGATGATGGTTCACGACTTCAACAGGAACTCTCTGCCCTGGAACGTCGAGCCGGTAAGCTAAAACATTCACCATTTATAACGTTAGTCTGAAAAGTTTGTAAATTACATATTAATATTTTAGTTAGACAATAATATAGTCATTAGACGCAGTGTTATAAATCTCGATCAATAATCACGTTTTACTAGGTAATGTGTCTATGTAATTTTCAGCACATATTTTTCCAAAACCACTTTTATTAGATTTAATACAAAGGAGGAGGCAAGTTAATACAAAGGCTCTTGTGTAGACTTCAAATCAACGTCACATCAATGCACTCCACCCACCCAACATCTGTGTATTGTCCGGAAGTTATAAGAGATAAAAGAACTCTTGTAACTTCCGGACAATACCGAACCCTGTGGTTGGAGTAAACTTAAGGTCAGTTTTGTTATTGTATCCAATCGTCTTGCAGTTGCTGGAGGACCCTGACTCTGATCAATATATCGACGGTATAGCACTCCACTGGTACGAAGACGCCAGTACGAGCCCCGATGTCCTCGAGGAGACCCTCGCCCTCTCTCCAGACAAGTTTATTCTCTACACGGAGGCATCTCAGGGTAAGGACAAAACCAGTTCCTCACGTAGTGACGTTTGATGGGAATCCCATTTCTACCAAACTTACGTAGGAATATCAGAAGCAAAGCATGACTCTTGACACAGTGTTCGGTATATGCATCTGTCAGTGTGGATATAAATAGGAGCTTCCTGTTATTAATTTCAGTAGATAATAATATGAGTTTGTGTTCCTCAAGCGGCTCACTAGCATTTGTACTCTCCCCATCTAGCGTTGACAATTTTTCCATGTATTTATTGATCAAGCTTATAAAGCTAGCTATACCATTTGTCTCTGTGGATATATACATCGAGAGGTATACCCCGCTTCTTGGTGTAAATAGACTGAGACTTTACTGTAGCCCTGGACTATGTTCAGGACTACAGTATACTTGCTGGTTGGTCAGTAAGCTGTTGTATTGCCATAATAACCTTCCATAGACTGATAGGCGTTTCAACACCTAACCAAGCCTCCATGATGTTGACCGGATACCTACTCCAGTCTTCCACCCTATTGACAAACCAGTACATTCCCATATCCTCCCTGAAACTAAACTATTAAAGCTTATAGCTATTGTTACTGGTCCTGACCTCGTCTGATAATGCATATACTGATTTATAAGGAGAGCTGTGAATTGCACCCCAGTGTGGACGCGCATGTTGGTGGCGTCGGCAATGTTTGTTTGAAATGAATCCATACGCCACAGGTCCATTTAGTCATTTTTTAACTATTTGGAAAATATAGTAAGGCTGACAACTATGATTTTCCAGGAGCTACTGTGTATCTTGGGTCGTGGGAGCGCGCAGAGGAGTACATCTATCGCATGCTGGACGTAAGACCCACTTGATTCATCATTTTCATTTCTCGAGGCTTAGATTCAACGTTTTGATTCATTAATAATACACATGAAAATTAAGCACCTGTTTTATATAAAAATGTTACATTATAAATAAAGGTAAATCTTACAGGCTATAAACCATCAAACAACCGGTTGGGTGGACTGGAACATGGCTCTCAACCAGGATGGGGGACCCAACTGGTGGCGCAACAGCTTCGACTCCCCCATCATCGTCAACGCTGTACGTGCAGCCCATAACTTTGCGTCCTACCTGTAGTTTAATCTAGGGTTTGTTTGCAATTATGAAGTAGCCCGTGGTAGATGTTTAGATCACGATTGAAAGTTCTGGGATGAGGACAATGAGCAGATATAATTTAAATAAATAAATGATGTATAAATAAGCAGATATAACAACATCCCCCACATCCCACAGTGGGAAGTGGGGGGCCTAGACAGGGAATGATCCACAACTTCACTCATACAGATATATTGGGTTTTGATTTGACTTCTGTACTCCATTAAAATTTCGCATTTTCCATTTTATAAGTTGCAATAGTTTGAAAACGGACGGATTGAACGACAACATAAAGCCAAAATTTGGATGAGACTGAGGTATCTTACATAGTTTTAATAAGATGTTTATAACTTTAAAAATATAACTCATTGGTCGTAAATATCATAACGTAACTTTCTGTAGAAAATTAATATTTAAAATAAATATATATTAGCCAATTATTTTCTGAATTTTTTTTTCAGTCAATTCAAATATATTATGAAGCCTTCTATATGAAACAGCTTTGTCCCGTTAGTACACAAATTAAAATTTTATATATTTGTAGAATTTTCGCGATGGTGCCAATAACATTTCCCCTCTACAGGAAGCCGAGGAGTTTTACAAGCAGCCAATGTTCTACGCCATCGGTCATTTGAGCAAGTTCGTGGTTCCCGGCGCCCAGCGGATCTCTTGGTCGACCATGTCCTCCATGATGAACATGGCCGCCTTCATCGACCCGTCAGGACGCACTGTCTTCGTTGTCCTCAACATGTAAGAATGCTGTATAAAATGTCTATCAGGTGTTGTCTCCTGTCCATCTATCAATTGGTCTCGTGTCATTTCTTTTTAACAGGAGCTATCGACAAAACTTCGATTTCCTTGACAAAATTAGTTATACACCCATAATTGTTAGAATAACGAGAGGCTAACTGTAATCCGTGGTGAACCGATAGCAATATTCATATTAATGCCAATATTAACAAGTTATCTGACAGACGTTGATGATTATAAATAAAGTGTTGTATATAAATCAGTCAACAGCCGCCACGGGACCCCGCAGAAGGTCTCCACTGGTAGCACAACTTGTCGTAATATGAGTTTGTGTTCCCCACAGGAATGAGATTGAGGAAGCCTTATCTCTGACGGATGGATCCGGATCTTACCTCAACTTCAAGATACCTCCCAAAGCCGCCCAGACTATCCTGTACTAGCATCCTGCAGGACCTAGCTAGATCCTGACTATCCTGTACTAGCATCCTGCAGGACCTAGCTAAATCCTGACTATCCTGTACTAGCATCCTGCAGGACCTAGCTAGATCCTGACTATCCTGTACAGTATCATGCAGGACCTAATCAGGTCCAGTCTTCGAACAAGACCTCCCAAATGGTTCCCTTCTGAAAATTTGCAGAACATTTAATAAAGAGCAAAGTCCAGATCAGTGATCCATGAATGACCAGCGATAATTTCAGTTTCAACAGTGGAGAGAATGCCTTGTTACAGTAAATAATGAGACTGAATTATATCGTTTCCTTGTGATGACCTAACGACGAGTGACATGATTGTTTGTTAACCAAACAATCAATTAGCATGAGTGTTGGAGCGCATTCACTGAAGCACTCTTGGTTCCTATACATTATTTTTTTTATCAGTTAACAGTATTTAATAATTAGGAAGCCAGTTCCAAGGGTAAAATGATTACCACGAGACACCAAAGCCCCCTCTCACACCAACTTGATAGTTATCTAGATATTTTTCATGGTGTGAAAGCATATTACAATTCCAGTAATAGTCTATTTGTCAATTGGTAAGAGACCCTTTGTTCCTAACAGATAATATTCTCGTTAACTTTATTGTATTATACCTCGTTGGCTTAAACATAAAAAGTGTATAAATAACTCGTTTTCTTTTAAATTGTCTGCTGAATTTGGTTTTCAATAAATTAAATTCTAGGGGATACTCAAGTAGTTTTCGAATTCCATAATTCACATGGTTTAAGAATAATATATCAAATTAATGTAAACAAATCTAATGTGCGATTATGTTACGTTGTTGGGTAAATTAGCTACACAGTGTTTAGTGAGTTTCATATTTATTTAGTAGTCCTGGGTACAGCAGTGTCGAAGACGTTGAGACGAAGCCTGGAGCAGAGCAGAGAGCTGAGTGAGGCCGGAGTCGTGGAGCTCTATGTGGGAGAGCGTGGCAGCTCAATTGGGAATTGTGAGTGTCTGAACTCGGGGAGCGAGAGCGTGGCGGCTCGATGAGGTCGTAGTCCGCTGTCTGCTCTGTGTTGAAGCTGTAGCGTCTTGGGTCGATTAGAACTGTACACGCCGAGTGCTACATTGTTGACTGTGGAAATTGTACTGCAGTCCACTATTCATTGTTGTTGTTGTTGTTTAAGATTCGCTACTCAGAACAATAAGTTCCAGTAGCACGGGCTATAGTGAGCCCGTAAGTGGAGGCTCTTTGGAGCCATTATCTGTATCAGTGGCTGATACTAGAGATCTGGCGATGGATGGGGGTCTTCATGATAGTTTTCAGCCTGGGGGGCTGGCTATACCAGTTATGGAGCTGGTGGGATTAGTGTGGACCTCTAGGTTTTCCGTTTTTTCTTTGCCTGCGACTTTGGCTGAGTAGTGCTGTCGTTGGAGTTTGGTGACGTGGCCTCCATGAGGAAGTGAACTTGAACCGTGTTCAAGTTCACGATTGAAACCGTGTAGGTGTCGTATTTGTGATGCGGCGGTGGAGCTCCTACTATGATTTCCTCGTCTGAGGAGTCCGTAACCTCCGTAGTGGGCGTTTTTGTCTTTTGCCTCGCAGCTTTAGGTAGGCTTAGGTGTCGTTGATTGGTGGTTGTAGCTATTTCAGGAGCGCTGGTGGTGCTGTTATCGTTTGTAGACAGCACGTCGGGTAGTGCGGCTGCTGAGATAGTGATGGTAGGAGTGTTGGGAGCTGGAGAAGGAATTACCTGTGTCGCCCGGGTCATGGGCGGTTCTGGAGTCGGTGTTGAAGTTGACCACCTGGTCGTCCTGGTGGTAGTCTCCGGAGTGGTAGAGGAGGCAGTGAGATTTACGCTAGTGGCTATGATGGGGGCCAGGCCATTGTCTATGTATAATGCGTTTAGTTCACTGACAAAGTGCTGGTTGTCTGGTCCTGCTAACCTTTCCGGTAGTTTAATAAGACCAGGGATAATGCCTGCACGTGATGCAGGGGGCTGTGAAGGAGACTGTGGGACCTTGGGTCCACAATGAGAAGGCTGTGTCATCTGCTGGGAGAGCCACATGTTGGTAAGACTGGAAAGCCTTCTGGTCGATTAGTGAGAGCTAAGGTGGTGGGTTGAACGCTTTTCTACCTCCTCTGGTCGAGGAGGTAGAAAAGTTGTTTCTCTTGGCTTCAACCTGGGCCTTGATGATTTCCTGTCTGCGGGGGCAGCGGTAGGAAATTGCAGGGTGATTGCCATCACAGAGCAAGCAGCGATGGACTGTTGCCTTGCATATGGAGTAGTGATGGTCCAGTGCGCACAGGCTGCACTTCTGGACAGGGTGCTGACACTTATTGGGCGGGTGCGAGAGCTCGTAGCACTTAAAGCACTGCTGGATCTCATGGTATCGTTCCTTTTTTATTTGGTGGGGTGGAATTTTTAAGCCGAAGCAGTAGATTCCTTGTGTGGCCGCCTGGGTGGCCGCAGCTATGGTGGTGAACGTAATCTTCATTGATGTTTTGTCGGTGTTGCAGAACTCTAGTTTGAATACAGCCAGGTTTGGATTTTCGTCCTCTATATTGTCCTTGATATGATGTTGAGGTCGGTCTGCGATCCACTGGCTGGTCCTGCTGATAAAAACAGTTCTTCCGGCCAGGAATTGACGTGGGAAGTGAGGATGTAGGTGGTGCTCTTTACGAAGAATGGCATCGTTAGTTAGGAGTTTTTCTAGCTCCTCTTCACATGAAAAAAGAGCACGATATCTTCACCTTCCTGATTAATGTCAGCGGGTTCGATTGATTGATTGATAAAGATTAAGCCACCCAAGAGGTGGCACGGGTTTGAATAGCCCGTAAGTGGTACAATTTTTTTTTCTCAGTATTCTGAGGTTGCATTTAACCATCAAGCTGTTATCGCGGGGGAGGATACTGCTTCAGTCTTTATGAGGGTGTCCAGCTGCTGGACACCTTTGTTGACCAGGAGAGTGGCTGTGTTGATGGCTTCAGGGTGGCCACTGCATGATTCAGGAACTCTTAAAGCTCTTCTAAGGTCATTGGTTGCTTCACATTCCAGAAGATAGTGAAGTAATGGCTTTTCTGTGACAGTTTGGCAGAAGATGCACTCTCTCTGTCGGGGTTCACCAATCTCCCAGTTGCATCTATAACCTAGACGTAGTCTATATAACCTAACTGCTATTTCCCTGTGGATTCCTTTTGGGATATTTAACCTTTCTAATTTGGTTGCCTGAAGATACCATGTTGCAGATGGCGAACCTTCAGCTATTCTCTGGTGCAGGTAGGCTTTGTTGAGATGTGAGAGTTTTTTGGTGATGATGTTTTTTATGTTCTCTAGGCTGGGTTGAATTGTTTTATGTATCACTGGATGACGAGTTGCCAATTTAGCAATTTCATCAGCTTTTTCATTTAATGGGATTCCAATATGGGATGGGATCCAGTTTAAAGTTATGTTGAGGCCTTTGCCTTTAGCGACTGCTCCAAGATACAAAATGGTGGTAATTATTTCCACATTATCTTTCCACTGTTTTTGTCCTAGTATTTGAAGTGCAGCTTTTGAGTCTGTGTGTATGATTGCATTTTGAGTGTTTTGTGCAATCACATATGCGAATACCTGTTGTATGGCAAACAGCTCAGTTTGGGTTGATGATACTAGTCCTCCCAGTCTCCAATATGCCTGAACGCTGGTCGTGCAAAGAGCAGCGCCAGCACTCTCATTTTCTGTGTCCACCGATCCGTCTGTGAAGATGTGGGTGGCTCCTGCTACTGCTATGCTATACATTTGCTCTTCTATTATGCGCCTTAGGATTGTCGGATCATAGGCAGCCTTTTTCATTGGGAGACTTTCAATTACTATTTTGAAAGTAGGCTCTTCCCACGGTGCGGAAGGAGTGTAATTTGGGTGTGGATGATCACCCTCTCTATCAAGAATCATGTTTTTTAAATGTAGTCTGTTTAGGACTTTTCCTGCTCTTGCAACCCAAGAGTTTCCATTGTTTTGACCAAGTCCAACCACCAAAGCCTGCCGTACTGGGATTGGATCAGAAGAAATAATTATCTTACTGATAATTGTAGCTGTCCTTTGTGATATTCTTTCTTGTAGAGAGGGCAAACCCGTCTCCAGTCTAAGAGTTTCAAGCCTGGTCCACATGGGGGCTCCCAGTGCAGCTCTCATAGCATTGTTTTGGGCAACTTCAAGCTTTTTCCACTGTTGGTGTGATAGATTTGTGAGTGCAGGTGCGGCATAATCGATCACTGATCTGACTGCCTGTACATAGTATGTGCGAAGGACTTGCAGATTGGCTCCTCCAGAAAGGGAGGTTAGCGACCTGAGGATTGCCGTTCGGGCCGCAGTTCGCTCTCTCAAGTAAGTGACCTCAGCATTAAAATTCATGTGTGTGTCCAGGATGATTCCTAGATACTGATAGGTGTCGACCCATTCTATTGGTTGACCCTGTACTGTGAGAGCGGGTTCGAGTAGCTCTAACCTTAAGACGTTTGGGTCGCATATGACCACACTGCTCCTTGTGGTGAGTGGTGTCAGACTGGACCACTGTGCGACTGTGTCCCCTATTCATGATTGATTGATAAAGATTAAGCCACCCAAGAGGTGGCACGGGCATGAATAGCCCGTAAGTGGTACAATTTTTTTTTTTCTCAGTATTCTGAGGTTGCATTTAACCATCAAGCTGTTATCGCGGGGGAGGATACTGCTTCCGCTATTCATCAAATCGCTTGCTTATATGATTACACCTCAGCTCCCTCCAACCAGATGAGAAGAGTATTACCTGTAATTGGGGAAAGGATTGTAGCTTCTGTAATTAGTGCTAATTAGTTATGATATTAAAATAATGAGATAATGGAGCGAGTATAAGATTAACTCGCTACAGGATTCCCCCAGCCAGGGAATGGAAGAAAAGCAATATAGCAAAAAATACGAGGCTACTGCTCTCTGGGTCGCTGTGGAACATGTAGTCCGGTATCAAAAGATGTAGGCAGTGTTTGGACAAGCTCGGTGTAGCAGGAGAGAAGAATGTGCATGATTGTTGCGTCCTTGGGTCGCTGGTGGAGCATTTAGATCCGGGGCGGATGGGCTCGGGCACCAGGACAATAGGAGGTAATGTAGGCACATAGTTAGGACAATGAGGGAATCACTGCTAGAGCTGAATTGTCCTGAAGGCGACGAAGAGTCGGAAACTCAAGCTGTAAGTCCTATACTGCGCAAGGTGCTTGAATCGGCAGAGTATCAGAATGCAGTGAACGTGTAGATGAATCTGACGACAGAGCAGCTGTCGTGGGCGTCCCT